CCGCCTGGACGGACGGACGGACGGCTGCAGAGGAGAGCCGGCGGCGAACGGTGAGCGATGGCGGCACGGCGCATCGGCCCGGCTGTGTTTGGGCCGTGGGTAGCGCTGTGTAACGGCGAGTGTGAACTGTGGGGAGAGCCCTGTGGTGGCAGGGCTGGACCGTAGTGAGCGCCTTGTGGCGGCAGGTCTCAGGTCTGGGCCGTGAGGAGCGATCTCTTATGGCGGGGCAAGGCCATGGGGAGCAGCACCCTGTAACGGCGGGTCTGGGCCGTGGGGCGATCTGTAACGGCTGGGCAGGGCCGTGGGGATAGCCCTGTGACGACAGGCCTTTGGCATGGGTAGCGCTGTGTGGCGGCGAGTCTCGGGGCCGTGTGGAGCTCTGTTACGGCCGGGCCGTGGGGTGGCGGCCGCTCAAGGTCGGCTCGCCGTCCGGCGGGGCTGGTGGGCACGGAGGCTCGCTCCCCTCCCGACCTCAGCCCTCTCCCCTCCTCTCCACTTCCGGCCATCGGCTGCTGCCCCGACACGTGACTTTTGGCCGCCAGCTGCCGGCTGCTGAGGGCTGACAGCTGGCTGACTGTCAGCAGACTGCCGGCTGCTCACAGCTGGCTGTTTGTGCCAGCCTGGATATCAATCAACAGCGGATAGAATGATAAAACAGGATAACTAATCACTTGTTGATGTCTGTCAGAGAGCAGACCTTCAAAACGCATTTCCCTGCCGCGCGCCGGGTTTCTGGGTCCTCAGATGAACTGTTTGTGATTTATGGTGTGGAGTTTCCGCTCTGTTTTCCTGCCTGGTTACCGGGAACCGGACCTGCGCTGGTTCTCTGGTGGCTGGCACCACACGGTTCGGCGGCAACATGTGACTCGCCAGCAAAATCCGACTTATCATTGATTCAGAGCTCTTCGCCGTATGACCTGCATCGTTTATCGAATTGGATAGTTTAGGATAAGATCAATCCTTATCTGACTTAAGTCAGTATCTGCATTGTTCGGTGGACGGGCTTAGTCAGTTCTTAGCACAGTCTTTGTTGGCCACCTCTCCGTGTCTGGTGACGCCGGCCTTCAGTGGTCGCACTTGGGTTCTAGGGGAGTGACACAGGTGACGTATGGAGTGGCGACCCAAGTGTTCTGATTTTTTATTTATGACAATTGTGTTTGTCGTTTTTGTGATCAGACTGCAGTCTACTATGGACGTCAAACCCCTTGAGACCCCACTTTTTTGCGATATTTTTTAAATGCGTCAACTCTCGTTGACAATATTTTGGCAATGTGTGTTTCAGAACCTGCCGAAACTTTTATTACTAAGGTATTTTGACGCCAAACGGTTATGAAAGGTACTTCTCATTCACTCGTAATGTTAAATTTCACGGAACGAATCTGCTGTTTGGGTAGAGGCTACGCGCTCATGGGGCGGAGCCACGTAATGACGTCAGCGCTAAGCTCCGCCCTACCCCTCCGGCGCTCCTTGCCCGGCGACCGGTCACTCGCGTCTCTCGCTCCATTCAGGCTTGATGGTGGACGGTAGCTGGTAGCGGTAGCGGGCGCTGGCAGATGGCATTTAGAGCAGATGGCGCTGGTGGCGGGGCTCGAGTGTGGCCGAGCGCAAGCCTCTGCCCGGGCCTGAATTGATCTTAGCATTACGAGTGAATGAGAAGTACCTTCCATATTCGTTTGGCGTCAAAATACCTTAGTAATAAAAGTTTCGGCAGGTTCTGAAACACACATTGCCAGAATATTGTCAACGAAAGTTGACGCATTTAAAAATTATCGCAAAAAAGTGGGGTCTCAAGGGGCTTGACGTCCATAGTAGTCGAACGATCTTTTGAACACCGTCAAAGACGGGCTCTTTAACTAGACAGTGTTGCCCCTCTGAGTCCTCCGCCCCCAACGGGTATCAGTCGTTAATACATATTTGCGTCTGATGCGCGTGGACGGGAGGAAACAGAGTCCTCTGATCAGCCTGTCTCCGGCCGAATCTGGGTTTTTGCCCTATCAGTCTGCCTTGAGCAAAAAGTTCTGACAAATTAAATGGTTTTGATTGAATCAAATCACACTGTTCGCCGCCACTTTATCGATTGACGACCGCTGACGTCTATATCCTACGTGTAACACAGACACTGTGTGCGTTTTTCTACTTAGATATGACCCCCTGGATAAGCTGCAATGCGCTCGCTGTCTCTTCTTATGGCTCCCTCGTCTCAGAAATGGCTGTGACTCCCGACCCCGCCGGCGGAGAGGGGGCAGCGGCATGACCTTGACCCGGCGCCCCCGGCCGACCTTGGGCTGGTTCCCACGGTAACCGGGCGGCTGCAGCTCAGCTCAGCTTCGGTCAGCTGGTCAATAGCTAGCCTCGGCTCGGAACGGCGCACGACGGGTTCAGCGCCGATCTGAGCTGCCAACAGGGCAAAAACTGATGGGATTGTCGATTCCTGGCTTTGCTGATGTCCTGGAGCTTTGTTGGCAATGCGACTTCTTTCATGGCATATGTGGCCAAAGGAACCATGCCTGTTGCACATCTGTGGAGACAGTCTGCAGTTTACACCTTCTTACTCGACGTCCCGTGACGGGCCGTGAATTCCCACCGACTCACGGCACGTCTCAGCCGTGACGGACGTCACGTCACTCGGCGTCACGGCGCCCAGTGACCGAGTGGCCGCTGTCTTGACTGGAGGCCAGACGGCGTGACGCCGGCCGTGACGGACAGCCGGCGTCGCGGGAGAGCACCCCGGTCGAGCGGCTCTCCCTCCCCTCCTCTCCCTCCTCTCCCGTCATCTCGCCAGCTCTCACTGCGGGCTCGGCGGCAGAGGCTGGCCGGCTTCTCGCGCCCCAGCCGCCTGGCCGGCCGGCCCGTTCCACTGGGAAGCTCTCTCTCCCGAGTGAGCAAGGCGCCTGGGGCTTGGTCCAACGGCGCTGCAAACAATGGAGCGGGCTGGCGGGGAGGGATTGTGGGGGAGGGGGACGGTCGCTGGTGATAGCCGGTTGGTGGCTTGCCAAGGGACTTGAATTTTTTGTGGTAGGATGTTGTTAACTTATTTACACCTAGTCTGGCTCTGAACTGATTGCTGTCTGATGAGACGATAGTGAGATGGTCGTCGGCTGGTGTTTTGTTGCCTTTTGTGCCTCGTTCTTTGTGACATGAACTGTAACCTGTGACGCTGTAATCTTTAACCTGACTTGTGATCTGACCTTTCCGCAGGGTCGACGATGGCCACCATTGAGCTACGTGTGCTCTGTGATCTGACCTAGCATGTGATCTTACATGTGACCTGACTTGACATGACCTGACCTGCCCTGTCCGCAGGGTCGGCGATGGCCACCACTGAGCTGCGCCGGCCGTTGTGGCCTGACCAGTGCACGGTCTTGCCGAATACCAGATTAGCGCGAATTTAATCAAAAACCCGACTTTCGATAAACTGTTATTTATACCTATCAGTGGGTAGGAAATTGTCTGAAGTTATCGGATAGAACCTTATTTTTAAGCCACTTTACCATTTGAGGACTTATATCCCTGCCGAAAGTGGACCCACGCTCCGGTTCCTAAAATCGGGCTATGGTACTGATAAATATGTCCAGTTTTCAACATAAATTTTACGGAAGTTTCGAGAAGATATATGAGAAAATAGCATATCACCGGACAGCACAATTCATGATGAAGCTGTTTCTGCTATCATGGTAGCTTTTCAATGAATGGTTTTTGAGTTTAATGAGTTTGAACAAGAGCCCTGCATGTGTATCGTTCTCACGATAGTATTTAATAAAGAAGTTGAAAAATGTCAAAATGGATAAAAATGGATATGACAAATAGGGCATGGCTGAACTCTCCGCACCTTTCTGAACATAAGCGAGCAAGTTTCAGCTGCCAGTTTTTGCCTATTTGCCGTCAACTCAGCTTTGAACATGTCTAGTCGGCCGCCCTATGTGACCTGACCAAGGTCGAGGGCGGCGCGGCCGAACAGGCTCCAGCCTAATAAACTATCTCAAGCACACGAAATCGTGATTTCATGCACTCCTTGCAAGGTCCGATGCTTCATTTATGCATTTTTGGTCTTACGTGACGTCATTTATGACGTCACTAGGGAAATAAGAGTTTTTCGTCAATAACTGCCGATTAAATTGAGCTAGCGAGTCGAGAAAGCCACCAATGGACTCAGGAAGACTTGCCGAATCGAATGATATGCAACATGACCTCCTTCAACCAACTTCGTGATCTGGAGGACTCTGACCTGACCTTGACCCACGGTCAACACCTTAAGTTAACTTCAGCCGAACAAAAAGTATACCATTCGACGCGCCTGAGTGAGGCGAACATGATGGTACCAAAATTGCGGCTCTGCGGCATTTTTTCGCGAAGTTATTAATAAAAAATGAATCCGCGCCTGGGTCACTTGACCTGACCTCAGAGGTCACAGGTTGGCCTGAGACCTTAAAATCGGATACCAGTCGCTGCGTCTCGTAACGGTGCACACGCTCGTTTTTTTCCGCGGGGCTCTAGCTCCATCAGGGGCGAAACAGCGACGGGGGTCGTACCAACCCCCCCCCCCCCCTTCGGCCGGCGCGTATTTTGAAAACCAATAAGTCCGGCGAGGGGTAAGTGTCAGTTTTGGAACCGGAGAACCATTTTCAGTGGATCCGAACGGCGCTGGGATTAAATTCGCGCTAAACTGGTGTTCGGCCACACTGTGCAGTGACCTGACTTGTAATCTGCGTTGTCCACAGGGTCGGCGATGGCCACCGCTGAGCTGCGCCGGCCTCTGTTAACTGACCTGACCTGTGGCCAGTGACCTGACCTGTAACCTGCCTTTCCCACAGGGTCGGCGATGGCCACCACTGAGCTGCGCGTCCCTGTGACCTGACCTGTGGCCCGTGACCTGACCTGACCTGACCTGTGACCTGACCTGTCGGCAGGGTCGGCGATGGCCACCACTGAGCTGCGCCGGCCTCTGTTACCTAACTCGACCTGTGGCCAGTGACCTGACCTGTGACCTGACCTGTCCGCAGGGTCGGCGATGGCCACCACTGAGCTGCGCCGGCCGCTGTTTGGCTCCACGGCGCCGGCAGGGTTCCCGGCCGACCGGACTGCCGATACCATGGTGAGTACCGAGTACCAAGTACCAAATACCGATTACCAAATACCGAGTACCGAGAACCCACAGAGTGCTAAGTACCGAGCACATAGCACCGAGTAGCAAGTACCGAACTTTACCGAGTGGGAGGTCCCAGATAAAGAAGAGGAGCTAGGATGTCTATTTTAGCTTGGAGCTCCCGGAGTGGGAGGAAGAGCTAGGAGGTCCCGGAGGAGCTGGGAGCTCCAGTGGGCGTCGGGAGCAGACCGGGTCGATCGTTCAGCCTGCAAAGGCGAATTGCTGCGCTTCGAGCATCGATCAGCGGCGGGTCGTCGTCGGGCGGTGCCAGGGTTTAGGAAGTTCAATGTCTGTGTGGGGTCAGGGAGGTCAGTGTGTCACTCTGTGGGGTCAGGGTCATTATAATGGGTCAGGAAATGTGTGGGATCAGGAAAGTCGATGTGCTGACTGGAAGGCACAAGCAGACAGGCGGGACTGCCGCACGCCTTCATCTGGTGTGGATAGCTGGTATAGACCACTGTCCTTTCTTGTCCTGTCTGCTCCCGCTCTCATATCGAAAAGCCCCTCTCCATGCAGCACACGCTTCCCAATGCCCACTGACTGACACCCCCGTTGTGGAAACCATGGACGTGCTACCCTCTCGGCTCTGAGGACACTGACAGTAGCTGACGTCCATCGCGTCGTGGTGTCTTCACGAGCCTCAGCGACGGATTGGTTCAGCGTCAGACTGCGGTGATTTCGGCCGTCGCCGTTTGCAGTCCGGGCGTGGGACGCCAGCTTTCATTTCGGTCTCAAATGGCCTGAAGCTGACTGGACGGCCCATTTGAGGGGCTTCGGGTCGTTGAAGCAGTGGTGAGGGTGGAAACTGCTGACGGCAAGCGGGTCCGAGGCGGCGGAGATGACGTCACCGCTGAGCTACGGCCCCTGCCTCTGTGGGGTGTTGGTTGAGGGGCGGGCTGCGGGGCGCCGGGAGCCCGGCGGCTACTTTGATTTAACGCTGACCCCGCCGACCGCCCACGTCCGGTGCCGAAATAGATGGCCCCAGACACCGTAATCGCTGTGAATTTCGGAAACGAGAGTCGCAGGCCGGCAGTTGGAGGTGGGACGATTGAAACTGACGCGAGTGGGTGTGGAGAGCAGTGGGCTGTGACTCGCTGTGGACCAAATGCCCTAGCCGAGGGCGGACGAGAGGGATGGCTTGGTCGGCGGCGTGGGCGGTATCAGATCTGCGCCGGAGGCAGAGTGTTGGGGGCTGGGTGGGCGTCAAAAGAGCACTGGAAATTGGATAGGTTCCTCGGAAGGCTGGGGCTGTGGTGGTGTCTGAGGTGGGTGTCGACGGTGGCCGTGGGTGTCGGCTCTGGCCTCTGGGTGTCGGCAGTCGCGCCTCGGCCCTCTCCACTCGTGTGACGTCAGCGGACACAAATAGCCCGGGGCGGCTCGTCTGCCGTCTGTTGGGCCGGCGGCTGTCCACCAGCCGGCGCCGCCTCCATTGGCGCTCGTCCTCGTCGCCGGTCCCGATTGGTGCGTGCCGCCGGCGCTCGGCCACAGCTGGTCCTGTGGTCAGGTGAATGGGTCGGTGCCGACAGCAGCCGACGGTAGTGGCTTCCGGAGGCTGTCAGTGGCCGCCGGCGACGGCAGGTAGCTGCCAGTAGTGCCTGGAGACGGCTGGTGACTGGTGGCGACGGCCGGTTGCTGTTGGTGGTGCTTGATTGCGGGTGGTAAAGCCTCGTGTTGAGTGGACGTCCCGTTGACGCACTGGGCTCGGTTCCGTCACTGGGCTCTGTGCTCCACCGTGTACTGTGATAACGACGATGTTGCGGGACCGACGTCCCATGTGCGTGCAGGCAGGCCGCCAGTGGCGTACGCACATACAGGACATTCCGTGCATGCCCTGTCCCTTTGGCTCATCGTCCCCGGCGCCCTCAGTGACTGGCGCCCCTTTGTCCAGTGTTGGCGCTCCCCCAGTCGATAGCGGCGCGCTTCTAGTTGATGGCGAAGCCCCTCTGTCCAGTATTGGCGCTCCTCTGGTGATAGTGGCGCCCTCCTGGACGATATGGTGGGCCGGTGGCGCCCCTTTGTCCAGTATTGGCGCCCCTCCAATCGATAGCGTCGCGCTCCTAGATGATGGTGGGTGGCGCCCCTCTGTCCAGTATGTCAGTTATGTTCGTTCCGCACGTGTACGAACATAACTGACACATTCAAGTTTCAGATATGTGGCGCCCTCCTTGTTGTTGGCGCCCTCCTTGATTGGCGCCCTCTCGTCCAATGCCCTGGTCCTTCGCAAATTCCTGGGTACGCCACTGCAGGCCGCCGATGAGGTCTGTGGCTGCGCTGCTGTGACTGTTGCGGCGAGCGGCGGCAAGAGACGGATAGAAGGTCTTATACAGGTGAGATGCCTCTGCCAATCTGACTACGTCCGAAAATAACGTTATCAGTGGGTGCTGTTAATCACATTTCGTGCCGCCAGCCTCATGTGATATTCATGCGATTCGTACATGCGAGTCACGTGAATTAGTGAAAGCTCGGCTGTGATTCCGTCCCGTCAGTCTTCCGGGGTCAGATGGCGTCGACTGTCGATCTCGTTGGCTGCTAGCTCGGAGCTCGTTTATTAGATACCTATAGCATGCCCATGGCTATCTATGAATTCAGGCAGACAGGTAACTACAGTTAGACGCCCTTGTAAATCAGACCGTGAACATATCCTGGCTGCTGAGTATCGTTGTGATGCATGGCTGGTATTTCGCTGCTCCATTGGGGTGACGAGCTGCAGGATTCTGGTGCCGCGCGGCTGCAGGGTCAGGCCAAACAACTGCTCTGCAGGACAGCTAAAGGTGTTTCGGTGACAGGTAGTGCCGCTCTGCACGTCTGGCTGTGGATCGTTTCGGCCGCCTGTTGCCGCCGGCTGCGGTGTCTGTCAGTACTCAGTACCGTCTGTCTGTTGTGCCAGCGCCTGGTTACCTGGCTGGGTCTCTGCTGCGACAAGCGGTCCCGGTCACCGCTAGACGAGCCGCCCCGCCCCATCCGCCCATCCAATCGCCTCAGCAGTCGGGCGGGGATGGCGTGTGGCACGCGAGCCGACCGGCTGAGGTCGAGTCGTTCGTCACGAACTGCTCACACGAACCTACCGCTCGGACGGCTCACCGGGGCGGACATCCGGCCGACCTGCCGACCTCTACTGACCCAGCCAGGCCAGGTGGAGCTAGGGCGGGATGGGGCGCAAGCCGAACCCTACCGACCACACGGGGGGTCTCAGTGCAGCGGCCCTCCCCCTTGTCGGATCTCAAACACATCACTGACAGCCGACCGGCGCGGCGGCCGGGGGCGTATATTTAGGCCCCGTCGGCCGGCGGGCGCGGGTGTCTGGTACCGGATTGGTGTGAGCCGGACTTCCGGCCGTTCCGGGGTGAGGTGTGTACGGCGTCGGTCATCACTGGCCGCTGGGAACGGATTGGGAACATCTGGCGATCACGATTGGGTTGGAGCTAACGGGCGCGGATCGCGACGGTGGGTAGTGGGAAAATATGGGAAAGTCACTTTGGTTCGCGTGCTGTGTTGTGAATTGTGATATCTCTAAACTGCGGAATACGACTCAAGAGTCCAGATAGCTGTGCATCTTCTTCCCTCGACCTGTTCGTTCTTGTCGTCGTCTTTGTGCGATGAGCGCAGCTCTGGCCCCATGCTGTCCCCGGTGATCCCAAATTTATCCGAAACTCGGCCTGCCCCGTCAGTAGGCTCAATCATGGTCAACATATGCAGTCAGTGGGCTGATTGTAGACATCAATCGATTGATCAGTGGTGATGAAAAACTACCCAGTATCGGGGCTCCAGTAACTGGGCACATAGCAGTCAGTGAAAATCAGCCAATGTCCCCAATGTCCACACACTTGATTGAACACCGCGCAACAGCACGTGCTCATTATTACCTGTGTGCGCGCCGGCCCTTGTCACATCTGTAATGGAGCGTGCTCCGGTTCAATTGAGCCCAGCTGGTTCCACTTCAATCACCGTTAGCGAGCTCTCTGTGCGCTGTACGCTGTTATTACGCTCGGCGATCCGTTTCAATTGAACGGGACGCGCTCTGTGCTAGTCTTGCGTGCCGCCGCACGTGACGCATGCCATCGCACGTGTCGTCTGCCACTGCCGGCTACACGTGTCCCGGTGTGCACGTGGCGCTAGGAACTCTGTGTCGATTAGCGAGCCACTCCAGCTGCCATGTCTTGGGTTCTCAATCGCCAACTTTCATCGGATCGCGGCTGCGTTACGGCTCATCGGCTCCCAGGCTTTCTTTCAGTCCCTGCGGCGGTGGTGTCCGACGGCACTGTAAGTGACCGTCCCGTAGTCCACTGTGCCGGCCTGGCGCTGCGCCAACTCTATCTGGAGACCGTGTGTTCTCCGCTGCGTCTCCCCGTCACCTTCTCCGCTACTTAACTGGGACGTAGACGGCTCCGTTGTGCGCTGGACTCGACACATTTTTTTTCAATCACAACACTGCTATAAAAGGAAGTCCAAATTCCTTTGAGGTCATGCAGTTTGCGGTTCCTCGCAGATTTTCTACAACTGAGTCTCCCATTTCCAGTGCAATTGTCCCGCGCTGGGATGTCAGTCCAGTACACCGTCTGTCTGAAAGAACGTTCATAATGGTCAGCTGCGCCAGCCGCCGCCGCCACCTACTAAGGGAGACCAGCTGTCCCCGCACCGGTCCGCCGACGCGGTCATAATTTATGAACGAGCTCGCGCCGCACGCAGCCGGCGACTGGCCGTTCCGAGAGCTGAGCTCCGAGGGCGTTACCCCGGCCGGGATAATCTGCGCTGGGGAGGCGTGGGGCAGTGGTCATTGCTCGGCATATTACCAGTCATAGAACAGAATGGCACGCTAGGGACGTAGCAGTGCTGTCAAGAAGGAGGGGCAGCGGCGCGGCGTAGACGCTGGGAGAGGGTCGCTAACCATCAGAGAATGTCTAGCACCTCGCCCCTCTCGGCTGTCCAGCGCTCACCGTCGTCGGTTCAAG